TGTAGAGAAATTCTTTATTCATCAGTTCTCTCATTTAGTTAACCTTACATGGTATCAGCAGCCGGTACGACTCACGTCTAACCTGATCCTCTTCCAGATGTCTGCCTCCCCCACTTCCTCCACTTCCAATGTTGCCGAACCCGCCCTTCCCACCTTCAACCCTTCTTCCTCCATCAACCTCACTAAACTCACACGTCACAATTACCCCACGTGGAAAGCCACCATGTTACCCTACCTCAAAGGCCAGAAAGTCTCTGGATACATCGATGGCACCGTTCGACCACCTGCAAAAACCATCACTGCCGCTGATGGCTCTACAACCCCCAACCCCTCGTATGATATTTGGGAAACCCAAGATAATCTTATTCTAAGTTGCATAAATTCTTCTCTTTCTGATGAAGTACTTGCCCAGGTTGCTCACTGTAGCTCCTCCGTTGAAGTTTGGATGGCTTTAAGCTCTGCCTTTGCATCCCAGTCCCGTGCTAAAGCGGTACATGTTCGTTCTCAACTCGCTACCCTCCGGAAAGGTAATCAATCTGCAACTGATTACTTCATGACAATCAAACGTCTCACGGACGAATTGGCAATTGCTGGTCAAGCTCTGAAATGTGACGAGATTATCCCATATTTGCTTGCTGGGCTCGGTCCCGAATATGACTCTCTTGTTTCCATGGTCTCTCATCGAGATACTTCTCTCCCTTTGGAAGAACTTTATTCCATGCTCCTGACATGTGAAGCTCGCATCGAGCATAATCATCAAATGCTCTCCTTGCCCATGGCTTCGCCAATGTTGCCACCCGACAACAACACCTTTTAGGAGGACGGGGTCGTAGCCACTTTTCAGCTCCTCGAGGCAGGGGGCGTACTACATTCAATGGCAACCGTGGAGGTGGCCGTGGCAATACCAGTTTGTGGTGCCAACTGTGTGAGAAGCCTGGCCATACAGCTTCTCGCTGTTGGAAGCGCTTTGATCCCCATTTCCAAACCCCGCCTCCTCGCCCATCTCCTCAGGCCCACCTCGCCTCTACCCAATCTCAGCAGCACTTGACTGACCAAGAGTGGCTTCCTGACACTGGTGCGACTCATCATCTGACCAACAGCTTGCATAATCTGAATATCCGAAGTGATGACTTTACTGGCACTGATCAAATTCACATCGGTGATGGTACAGGTTTGAAAATAACTCATATTGGAACTGCCTCTTTATCTAACTCCTCTTCGTCTTTTCTTCTTGACAAAATTCTCGTCGTTCCTCAAATTACCAAAAATCTTCTTTCTGTTCAAAAATTTGCACAGGATAATAATGTTTATTTTGAGTTTCACGATTCTTTTTTTCTGCTTAAGGATTACTCGGGGAACGTCCTACATAAAGGAACTATGTCTGATGGCCTTTATTGCTTCTCTCCATCTCTTCAACGTCTTTTTCCATCTGCCTTTGTTGGTGCTCGGATCTCGGTTACAAACTGGCATCGTCGTCTTGGTCATGCCTCTTATGGTACTGTTCGACATGTGCTTGGCAATAATAATTTACCAGTTGGTTCCAATAAGAGACAAGATATTTGTCCTGAGTGTGCAATGGCTAAAAGCCACAATTTACCATTTTCTACTTCAATTCCTTCTGTTTTACGACCTCTTGAATTAATTTATTCCGATGTCTGGGGACCCAGTTCGGTTGTTTCTACTTATGGATCTCGCTATTATGTTTGTTTTTTGGATGCCTTTACTAAATTCCTTTGGATATTTCCTTTAAAAATGAAATCTGACGTCGAAACTATTTTCATCCAATTTCAAAAATATGTTGAACGGCATTTTGATTTACACATTAAGGCCATTCAAACCGATTGGGGGGGTGAATATCGCCGTTTAAATACTTATTTCAAAACCTGTGGAATTCAACATCGTTTAGCTTGTCCTTACACGCATGAACAAATGGGTTCTGTTGAACGTCGGCATCGTCAAATTGTTGAAATGGGCTTAGCTTTGCTCGCTCACTCAAATTTACCCAAGGCTTATTGGGAAGACGCTTTTTTAACTGCCACTTATATTATTAATCGTCTTCCTTCCAAAGCACTTGACAACAAATCACCTTTTGAAATGGCTTATAATAAAAAACCCAACTATTTGTTTATGCGTGTTTTTGGCTGTGCTTGTTGGCCTAATTTACGTGCTTATAACAAACATAAAATTAATTTCCGATCTAAAACTTGCATTTTTCTTGGTTATAGTCTATCCCACCAGGGCTATAAGTGTCTCGATTTGGCCACGGGAAAATTATATGTCTCGCGCCATGTCCTTTTTGATGAATCTTTGTTTCCATACCAAAACGAGTCCTCGGCGTCTACTCCTCCCACACTAGAAACTCTTTCTTTACCTCCCTCCTTATGTCATATGAGTCCTCCAACAGCCCATGCAGGTCCACACGTTTGTCCCAATGACCAGCTGCCAGTTGACAAAGTCAATCCACCAACTCAAGTGCCTTCGGATATTCAGTCTCCTATGTTCTCCTCGGGTGATGCTCATGACCCAGCAAGGGATCTCCCTCGCACTTCAGCAGATGTTGTTGGACCCTCTCACCAACCAAATCCTCCTCATTCACGTGATATTCAAATGCCACGTCGCATGCTTACCCGCTCACAAACACAATCTCTCAAACCAAAAGCTCCTTATGTTGGTATAGCCCGATACCCACTCCCTCAATGTTTCCTTACTAATCATGTCTCATCTCTTGCAGAACCTACTTGTTTTTCTGAAGCCTCAAAACATCCTTTTTGGCGTGAAGCCATGGACATTGAGTTTAAAGCTCTTGTCAAAAATGGCACTTGGGATCTTGTTCCACCTACGCCAGGTAATAATCTTGTTGGAAATAAGTGGGTGTTCCGAATTAAACGCCATGCGGATGGCACTGTTGAGCGCTTTAAAGCGCGACTAGTGGCGAAAGGTTTTCATCAACAACCCGGTGTGGACTTCACGGAAACCTTTAGTCCTGTGGTTAAGCCAGGAACTATACGGTTGTTATTATCTTTAGCTATTACACGGCAATGGAGCATTCGACAGATTGATATCCAAAATGCATTTCTACATGGCCAGTTGCAAGAAGAAGTTTATATGCAACAGCCTCAAGGGTATATTCACCCTGATTTTCCCAATCATGTATGCCGCTTAAAGAAGAGCTTATACGGTCTTAAACAAGCTCCCCGAGCTTGGTTTTCTAGGTTGACCGAAACACTGCAGCAAATGGGATTCGTTGGTTCAAAGGCAGATACCTCTTTATTCACTCTTCATACCAACGACTTCTCTATTTTCATCCTTATATACGTTGATGATATAATCATCACCGGGCACTCTTCCGATGCGATTGACAAATTTATTCAGCAACTTGGAGATATTTTTCCTGTCAAAGATTTAGGCACTCTATCCTATTTTCTCGGTGTAGAGGCTTTGTTCGATGGTCCTCATCTTTTTTTAACCCAACGAAAATATGTGGCCGACCTGCTTCAACGGGTTAACATGCATGAAGCTAAGCCATGTTCAACTCCTATGAGTATCACTTGCAGTTTATCTAAATTTGAAGGACATGATTTTTCTGACCCTCCACTTTATAGAAGCACGGTTGGGGCATTACATTACTTGGGCTTCACTCGTCCAGATATTGCTTTCGCGGTACACCGTGTTAGCAAATTCATGCATCAGCCCAAAGACACTCATTGGCAAGCTGTCAAAAGAATCCTTCGGTATCTAAAATCCACGGTGGACTATGGACTTCGTTTACAAAGCACTTCAGATCATTCTCTTCAAGGATATAGTGATGCCGACTGGGCTGGCGACAAAGATGACCGACGTAGTATTGGGGCCTACTGCATTTTTCATGGCTCCAATCTTATCAGTTGGAGCTGCAAACAACAACAAACTGTTGCTCGAAGCAGCACTGAATCAGAATATAAATCCCTCTCCAACACAGCGGCAGAATTACATTGGCTTCAATCCATACTTCATGATCTGCGGCTTCCCTTGTTAACCAGTCCAATATTATGGTGTGACAATATTGGAGCTACTTATTTGTCCTCTAATCCAGTCTTCCATGCCAGAACCAAACACATTGAAATAGACTTTCACTATGTTCGGGATCAAGTCTTAGCCAAAAAACTTCAGGTCTCATTTCTATCCTCTAAAAATCAGCTTGCGGATTTATTAACTAAACCTTTGTCTTCCGTTCGTTTTCATCTCTTGCGAACCAACCTTCATGTTCAATATCTGCCCATTCGGTTGAGGGGGCGTATTGGAGATAAATCTGAACCTACTTCTAACGACACAGTGGCAGCCAAGGGAACAAGAGTGCCCAGTCAAAACAGAGAAGATTACACCTGATATTTTGGAACAAGAATGCCCAGTCAAAACAGAGGATATTGCAACTGATATTTCGGGCCAACAGCTTTGTTACGTTGTGATAGTGTTTTTGATTTTTTGAATAGCTTATGTATAGGAGGAAGTTATGAAGAGTTTGTATATAAATATCATACGCTGTATACACCATAATTATCTTGTAGAGAAATTCTTTATTCATCAG